GCAGCCAGAGTTGGCAATCGGGTTAGCCTGCAGAGTCGGTAGTCTGATACGGGCAGGTTTGTCGCGTTGCATGCTCCAACATGTTCCAATATGCTCCTACCATAGCTTTTACTCACTCTACACACTTGTTAAAGTGAGTAGCAACTATGGTAGGAGCATTTTGGAGCATATTGGAGCTTGCGACGCGCACAAACCTTATAGTAGGAGCATGTTGGAGCATGTTGGAACTTGCGACGCGCAAACCTCTTATTTGAAAATTGCCGCTTCTGCGATTATCGATATATCGACACTCGCCGACGGCGCGCCTGCGTTCTGGGATTTCACGGAACGAAAGGTGACGTCGTGACGATCGGCGACGAGTAGCGACGACGACGACGTCGTGTGCGTTTCTGTCGTAGTGGTGAGGTAGTGACTTTTAGTGACGAATGACGAAAATGCGTCGAGACCTTAGGTCGTGTCGTGCCGTAAAGGTTCCTGGCAGCGAGTTCATCGACGACGAGGACGTCGACCACGTCAGGTGGGTCCTCAGCGATCGGTGTCCAGCCAGTGACACGTGGCTTTACGTGACTCGCCACGGTGAAAAGCGGAGGGCTCCGGATTGACGGAGCGACCGGCAGATCCGTTGCTGTTGGCCCTTTGTTTACATACTGCGCGACGACCAGTATCGGATTAAATTTCGGTTACTTGGTCAGTGCGCGTGACAGCAATTTGCGTTGATCGTGCCGTCGTTGCCGGCCGCGCGAATCAATCGCGACGGACCCCGTTATTCATTCCGTCGGTGTGATAATCCGGCGACAAGGCATCGACGACAACGACGGAGATTCCCGATTGCGAATTCCTGGCGATTTATCGCGCGAGACACGTCGCTTCTCTCTTGCTCCTCGGTGTACAGAGATATTCGTGATTCCTTGTCTTTTAATTTCTTTTGAAAGAATGTCATTCAAAAGATGAAGATTTAAAAATGTTTCTGTATTCACGGTTGTTTTTGTGGTACGTAATAAATACTCGTATCAGGAAGGAAACATTAATATTGTTCACAGAAATATTATTTTATATAAAATTTTTTACGCAGTAGAAAAAATTCTGATCATTCTTTTAGATATTAAATGTTGTTATAATAATTATTACTTCTGTATGTTTGCCGTTATTTTACTTTGCAATTTTAATTTATCATTATCTTCTACAATTTCTGTCAAGGATAACTAAATTAGATTTGAAAACAGGTTTTGCAAAATGTTTATTACAAATTTTGTCGATATCAAGTTAGTAGAATGATGCAATCCGTCTTATTCTGCTAGAATCTACTGGTACACTTTTAACATTTTGTTTAATGAGATAGATTTGCTCAAATAGATAATTTTGTCAAAAACAAGTTTTTCAAAGTGGCCTACTAATTTTATTATAATAGCATAAAATTTCCAAAAATATAATGGAATCTATTAACGGAACGGCAGATTGATAGCAAAAATCGAGTGGAATTTGCTTTTTTATAATCATTCCTGTAATATATATTTTGTTTAATTTTTAATAATTAAGAGATAAATCTATATCCATTATTTTCTGATTTTAACTAATTGATTTACAACTAATTGAAAATATCATTGAAAAACACGATTTAAAGCGTAAAACTGTAATTGATAAATCTCGATTATCTAATCCTTTACATCTGACAGCTAGATACTTTCCTTCTTATATTGAAAAAGATGCAAATCATCTAACAGAATAAAGAAAATGTATTCTTTGTACTACAGGAGCGAAAAAAATAGTGAACAAAATATATCTATAGATTTGAATGTAAAGAATGTAACATCGGTCTTTGTGTAAGTGATTACTTGACGTTTGTCACACAAATGATGATTTTATCATCATTTCGAATAAAAATCTTTTTTTAATGTCCGAAAGGATTAATGTCAACCGTAATATTCTACTTAGAACTACTGACAAATTATTAAAACTATTCAGATTCCCACCCGAGTACCATCCTGATATCTTTGTTATTCATTGAATATTAAACAAGGATAACATAATATCTAAGGAGCACTCGGATGAAAATCTAAATGTGCCTTAACATACTGCTAACGTTTCGTTTAATGAGTTACTATTTATTTAATATTTTCTCCAAAAGAATAGTGCATAGGTTTGAATGCGTGAGACAATTTGCGAATGCAGTTTTCATGATAATATTTTTATTTCTGAAGTAACATCCCCTCTCTGTAAAATTCCCCGACGACAATCGACGATAAACCTTCCGGCGGAAATTTATATTTGATTAAATATCTTATTTACAGTAAGAATGATTCAATTAGTCCGCCAAACGAGTTCGAAGATTCGCTACAAGCGATGTCGGATATGTACGGACAAACGCCGCCCAGGACTCGTCTCAGTCGTAAGAAAAGGCACATGAAGCATAAGCTTGCGTCAGGCAGGTGCGTGCAATAGAGTTGCAAATTAAATCCGCGAAAAATCGCTGAGAGTACATAATTATTACTAGATGCGTTTCATTTGGCACATTTGCGATGCGTCGTTTTGCGCTGAAACACAAATGAATTTAATGAATAATTGTAAAACGTAAAGCCCATTTCTTTTAGCTTTGTACGCATTTTAAGATATGGATCTATATAGCACAAATCTCCAAGGGACGTCCTGAAAACGTCCTAAGAATAAAGAGTGTTGCATGGTGAACGGTTTTGAAAATTGGAAATTGCATAAGAAACATTTTCAACGTACAAAGAAATTGCTTTTACGCTTCGCGGAATTTTCAGATATAAATTAACTCGGTTGCTAATTTAATTGTCACACGAGTGGCTATAAAATATGCAAATTATCTTTAGTCTTTGTCATTTCCAGCGATCTTAAGTCAATAGAAAAGGAAGCTAGACCAAGGACAGCTATCCACAGACGCAACACTCTGGACACTATCATTTTTAATGAAATGTGCGATAAAGCGGACAAAGATTATGAAGATGAGACGAAGGAGGATGTGAAAGAGGGCAGGAAAAGCAAGAGAAGTTTGAAACTATTGCGGGGCAACGAAAGGGACCTGAAGCTCGACGTGGAGGCTGCCCACAACTATGCCGAGAGATATACCGGCGAGATAGCGGTGTCGACGCCAAATCAAATCAAGGTTTAAAAAAACGGAGAAGTGATTTTGAGTATTGGCTAAGTTTGAAAAAAACCTCAACAATCGTGCCTATGATTAATGTATATTTCTGATGAATCACATCCTTTTTTCCCGATCCATCAAATGTTAAGCTTTCGTTCTCACTTTTTTGCAGACGTATTTGGCACATGGTCAATAAATATGCTCTTTCTCGTAGATCGAGACTAGAAATAGATTCCGCTGCCTGCGATCTAAACCCGTTGACGTCGAGGAAAAGAAGGTGGAGCGTGAAGACAGTGAGCAAAGCGTGTTGATAAATGAAGAATGTTTACGCGCACAATCGCCGAGAACGCAGAGCTTGAGAGAGAGAGAAATCTTTCACGATACATTCTCCTTTTTGATTAAATTAGTAAATATTTTATTGCAAAATAAACTTGAGTTAAATCAAACTTTATTATCAATACAGTTATATTTTTATTTTTTTATATTTTTATTCTTAATTACTGAAAAATTATCTTTTTTTTTTAATTTCGCGCAGGGAAGCACAGAACGGAATTGTCGTCGCCAAATGAGTCACGAGGAGACTCGATGGCAGAATGAATTAAAAGACTTGATATGGCTGGAATTGCAAGCGCATCACGCAGACCGTAGTCTAATAGCGCAGGATGAATATCTTTGCCGCCAACGAGAGGCGGTGGAGGGTTTACTTTCAGAAATAATGGAGTACAGGTAAGCGAAAACGTACTTGAAGGAAACCCTTTAAGGAAATTTGCGATACATAATAATTTTAAATACAAAAAGAAGAATTATTGAGAAGGCAATAATTGCATTATAGATACGATCCCATCATAGAAAGAGAAGACGCGCAAGAGGGAAGCTCGAGTTGCGTCAGCCCCGGTGATATTGCGAGCGATCGATCCACGAATTCCGGTTTGAGCTCAAATATCGAGCTGGGCGTATGCCCAGGTTGTCTCTCCATGTACTGCCGTGCGTGCGCCCATGCACAGGGAGAAGCATTGCAACAAGTGGAAGCTCTGTTGGCTCGTTTGGAAGTCGCAGAAGCTCTGTATCCATCCTCCCATGTGTTCGCCGTTAATTATCCGTTATACAAAAGCCCGGAGTTCACCGACAGGGTGAAGGCTATGTGCCTCTGGTACAACATGACGAAACACCATCGATTCAAATTGCAGATACTAGGCAGATTACTCATGATGCTACACAGCAAGAAGAAACAGGACGATTTTAATGATTCCGGCATCAGGTACGTTGATTTGAATCGCGTTACTTTGAGAATACTTTGAAAATGTACTATTTGAAGTGGAATCTTATTCCGTTTACATTGTTTTCGAAAAACATGTTTTGGAATTTTTCTTTGATGTAACTTGAAGTATAGAAACTTGGGTAATCAATTGTTCCTATCTTTAGTTCGCGATCTTCAGATACCGTCGATTCTGCAGAGCGACAATCCATGGTGCGATTTGAATTACCTCAACAGGATGAAACTTCCAGTCCCTCCGACAGCAATAACAGCAATAATTCTTCGATCGGAGGTCTATCATTTATATCGCAATCACTGCCACCTACTCCAGAAACCTCGTTCTCATATTTTGAAGATGAAAGAGTCGATCGTCTCGATTTCTACTTGGTCGAATTTGATCGACACGCCTACAGGTACGTTTTGAAAAATGTATACTTAATGTATCAAAATCTGCTTTTAATTTAAAATTATTATTAAATTTGATATGCATGTTTATATTTACATTATAAAATTTACTATAAATTTCTTTTATATCCTTATTTTATTTCCAAGCAATTAAACAAAATTTTAAACTTGTTAACTATACGAATGTAAATATATGATTTATGAAAATTATATAATGACGCACAAGCACAATTTTTGTTCACTTAGAAAATACATTGAAGACGTACTTAAAACGAGAGGTCTCCGGAAGAGTTTGAATTTCTTGGATCGGCTACATACATCTATATTGAGAAAAGCAAGATTAACTTTGGAGAAAAATGATGACGAGGGATGTGATAGTAGTGCGAATGAAGAATACGAAGGTGACAAAGAATTACGGCGATATGGTATTTGGAGCTCTGAAGCGAAGGAATTGAATCTACCATCATACAGGTGCATGGAATTTTTTATAAAAAGATTTCTTGCTTTTTAATATTGTTAGCTTAGATATTAAGGAAGAATGCGTTTTTTATCACAATAGTTTGATTTAATTCAAGGACACCAAAATTTGTACTTTTATCAAATAAAATTTAATTAATTAAAGTTAAACAAAAAGAAAATAAACGTCTATATGATTGTGCGTTTCTTCTTGTTTTTAAAAAATTTTTAACTACTAGTTGAAACAGCTTAGACAATTTTTTTATTTGAATCGAAGTCGGAAGTAGTGATAATATTAAACTATATGTTACGTTATTTATTAAAATAAACGATTTACATAATAGTAATATTTCTTTTCTTAGGGCAGCTTTTGTGTTTCTTTCACGTGTGCCTCTGGATGTCGTCCATGAATTTTTAAGGATGAGACTGGAACAGAAGCCGGAGCAGCCAAGTCCATTGTCAGTCCGACAGCTCATGCGGGAGCTTCGTGAAGGTCTCAGGATTGCTTGCATCCATCGCGATCGGTTTGCCGCACATTCTAGTGCTGCTATCGTCAGTGACCAAACCGGCTGTGAGAATCTGTTTGAGGAGGACGTCAAGGACTTCGACGAAAGCTTGAGAGCCGTGTTCGAAGTGTACCTGGATTATCTTCAGCAGTGGGTAGACATGGTGCAACACGACAGCTTCCACAAAAATCTAATTATGGACGAGTGGTTGTTTGTCAAGTCGATCGCTGGAAATATAAGCGACGGATACAAGATTGCTGGTGTGAAATTCTAGTAAGTAAAGTAACAAGATGACTAAATATTTTTTATATAACTTGCGTTGAGAAGATAATATTAATAGAATGAACTAAAAGAAATTAATATAATGTAAGAGAACAATAAAAGTTAAATTATTGTTAAATATTCTTCATTTTAATTTATATTGTTTTATATATTTGATATGGAAGATGTTTTTTATAGTAAGATTGCGCGTACGATGATCAAGCAAGTGAATGAATTTTTCGTCGAACGGACTCGCGAGATACGGGAAATTGCAAATTTCGAAGAGGAAGACGACGAGTTATCAAGCAAGTAAGAGAAAATTTCTATTTGTTCATCTCAATGCTTTTGAACTGTTTTGTAATAAATCGATGCTTAGATTGCATCAGATGAACGTGGGTCGCGAATGGCAAGGAATGTTCGTAGAGAGTCGGGAAAAGATTGTAAAAAGCATCAATCTCGCCAAATGCTTGAAACGCGATATTGAGAAATGGCCTGTCTGCGATCAGGAGTTGGAGAAATCATTAAAACTGTTGAAGGTAAGAATATATATACACAAACGATTATGTAACTGTTAAAAAGCTAAATCTTCATGTTCATATTTGTATAGGATATAATCCTGGATTTGAGACATCGCATAACGATGGTGATCGAGGACTTTCAAAACGAAGCCAACAAAGTGGAACGATTAAATACCGAGAATGATCAGTTGCCGTTACGATCGAGAATCCGCGAGATCCTCCATCAAGCTTACAAGATGGGTTTTGATTTTCACAAGGAAATGTGCAAGCTATTCTCACTAGAAGAGAAAGCTATTCTGGCGCGGGGTTTAGTATCGTTTGCACTACTATGGATGGAGTTCGTGAGAACAAGATGCGAACGTGGCCGCGGTTTGAGGCCTAGATGGGCAAATCAAGGTCTGGAATTCTTAATAACAGTATGCGAGCCGCAAAATACGAAGCATCTTACCGATCAGGAGTTTGAGGAATTAAAGATGTGCATGGATCGCTGCATATCTCATGTCGTGGGAACCGTGTCAGTTACGGGATCGACACCGGAGACAGAAAGTAATATATGATTTTTAGTCATTAATTTTAATATGCATGATTAGAGTTTCCATTTATCTTTATGACTTTAAGTTTAGTAGAAGTTATAAATATCAATTTTGTTACTTTAAATGTCCTTTTTGTTATAAAGTTAACAAAATTTTTGAAACTTTCTAAATGAATAATTTGATCTTGAAAATGATTAAATGAATATATTTCATTACATGTCATTGGCAATATTTATTTTCAGGCTTAAGAAGACTGTCGCGATCAAGAGCTTCATCACCTTGCCATGGTCGTACTAGAACCGCAAGCATCAGTGTCTCTCAGAAACCACGGGACGCTTTGAAGTCACCTGAGCTATCAGTTAATGTGAAGAAAAATAATTCGCCGAACATAGTTGATGGAAATCTCGCAGTGATAATAAACATGCCCGAGCGAGGTACACAAAGGCACGAGATGATCATTCGTGCTATCAGGAAAGTCGAGGGTGAACTTGACGAAAGATTACGAAGCCGGGAGCTCATTGGACAAGTCGTCGACAGGAAAACAGTGGACAAAGTTCACATCAAGGCCAGGCGAGTTACATTTACATGGCAACGAGGTATTAAAATAGGTACGTCTTATGATCATTTAGGAACATGTAAAAGAATTATTGTTTCGATAGATAATTATAATAATTATAATTTTTAGTGTTATTTTAATTAAATTTTATTATGCAGGCCAAGGAAGGTTTGGCAAAGTGTATACCGTGGTGAACAATCAAACTGGTGAATTGTTGGCCATGAAAGAGGTACAACTGCAACCTGGTGATCATAGAGCGATCAGGCGTGTCGCCGAGGAATTACAGATATTCGAGGGAATTCAGCACCAGCATTTAGTGCGATATTACGGGCTAGAAATTCATCGTGTACGATAAATAACACAATCATCGCTATGATATATTAACTTATGGTTATCGCATTTATCACGATAAATTTTGCTTTCAGGAGGAAATGCTGATCTTCATGGAATTTTGTGCAGAGGGAACTCTCGAGAGCTTGGTAGCGGGTAGCGGTAATGGACTGCCAGAATCTTTGGTCAGAAAGTACACTCATCAGCTTCTTTCGGCTGTGGCAGCGCTGCACTCTCACGGAATAGTTCATCGAGATATTAAAAGTAACTATATTTGAATAAAATGAGCTGTTTTTAAAATCCGTGCTATTTTTATGATTCCATAACATTTTTTTCTTTCCGCAGCTGCAAATATTTTTCTAACAGATGAAGGTAATAGTTTGAAACTCGGCGACTTTGGCAGTGCGGTGCAAATTAAAGCACATACAACTATGCCTGGCGAACTCCAAGGCTTTGTCGGTACTCAAGGTTAGTATTATTTTAATTGTTATGTATTAAAATCTCATTCATTTATTATTGATTAGAGATGGGCGAAGGAAGAGAGAGAGAGAGAGAGAGAGAGAGAGAGGTTAAGAATTTAATAAACTCAAAGACTTTACTTCCATTATTTATATTTTTAATCATTTCTTAATTTTTTTTTAAAGCTTATATGGCACCAGAGGTATTCATGAAGTCTGAAAGTAGTGGACACGGTAGAGCTGTTGATATTTGGTCAGTGGGTTGCTGTATCATCGAGATGGCGAGTGGACGACGACCTTGGTCGGATTACGATTCAAATTATCAAATTATGTTTAAGGTAATTGCAATTAAATACATTATTACGAAAATGGAAAGTAATTTAATTATTTTGACGATTTGAGAAAGATAAACAAAGGGTTATAGATATTTAAAATTAGGAATTTAGAATTAAATCTTTCGTCTTACATCTTTATTTTTGAAATTTAATTTTAACTCTTTTCATTTAAGGTTGGAATGGGAGAAACACCAGCACTTCCGAAGAATCTTTCCGCAGAAGGCATAGATCTCATTAAGAAATGTCTTCAACACGATCCGAAGAAAAGGTCAACGGCGAGTAATCTCTTTGCGCATCCTTTTGCGCATGGAGAATATGAAGATGTTAATGATGCTGATTTAACGATGCCTGTGTAATACTAAGAGCTCGGAAAGATGTAAGTACCATTCGTGAATTATAAGCCTTTAATTTTTTTTCATACGTTATAATCTTTTTCTGAATCTTGGAACAAGATACTATAAGAAAAATTAGAATTAGACAAATTCAAGCATTTTTTTTAATCTGTGCAAAGATATGTATATCTTACTCTAAAATCTTGCTTTAAGAATTTTAAACAAAAGGTTTCAGACGAAGTTATGACATTTAATTTTTAGAAATAATATTCAATCTATTTTTCTTTACAGTGCACGATCTCTGCTAGGCAAAGCTGGTATTTGCGTTCGCACCTAATCGATAGAATTGTTCCACTCATTTGCTGTATCGTATTATTTGAACATGGTCTCGTTCTTCTGAGCAATTCAGTGTGTTTTATCCAGCTTCGACACTTTTTAAACGTAAATATTCTGTTAATATTATGTTAAACGTAATAGTCTAATATTTGCAGTAGGCTGTACAAAGAAACAAGGCAGTCTGAAAATATTTTATTCACTGACAAAACCAATATAATATATTGTACTATTGTGATCATGTTGTACTTAAGGGGATCCTAAAGGGGGTCCTGTTTTTCCATGATTACGTTTTAGGAGAAATCTCCGAATTAGCTTCACGGATTGTAAAATTTTGTTTACAGAATTAAAGAACGCATAAAAAGAAATCCCAGCAAACACGATTTCACGAGAAAATCGAAAACAAAATTAAAAAATTTACTTTTTCTGGCACGTAAAACTCACCTGAGGTTAACATTTGCGTGATATAAAAGTTTTACAGCTTGTAGATTGAAAATAAGCGTGAAGCGGGATTTAGCTTACTTGAACAAATAATACTGAGTTTGTGGAATTAATAGCGTTTTTTACTGGGTCGCACTGAGTGCGCACCAAAAACTCGTTCAGTGGCAGCAGCACTGTACGAGGTTGCCAAAAGTGCGAGTTTCTTATACTCTCAGCTAAACGTGTATCGATCTCAGTGCGTTTTATAGTGCATATTTGCCACTACATTTGATAATATAAAATATTACGTAATTCACATTTTCATAATATGGAAGGAGAAGGATGCATACGTGTCTACTATTTTGTAAGCTGTTGTTCTGGAAACGCGAAAATAACTTTTGCACTGTAACGATAACATAATTACTTGTAGTACTGATATTCTTATACAATATATCCTGGTAAAAAATTTTTCATGTATGATCATTATATATAAACGTATATAATTATATAATACGTATATATAATACCGTAATATGACATATTTCATATGTCCATACGTCTTTCTTTCTTTTATAAAAATATTTAGTATGATAAAAATAATAATAATAATAATGAGAAAACGTAAAAAATAATTAAAAGAATAAGTTGCAAAAATCTTTTTAATTATTTTTTTACATTTTCTCGTTATTGTTATTTTTCTCATACTAATAATTTTACAAAAGAAAGAATGACATATATCCATATATCATGTGTTCATGTATGAATACATGAACACATTTCATAAATAATTATATATGTTTATATATATTTATGTATGACTAGGATTCCCTTAAAGCGTAAAAAAAATATTTTTCCTAAAACGAAATTCTTGCTTTGCAAGGACTCGGAACAGAATTCCGACGTCAACAGAGCCGAAATTCCGTGTAGTAGCTGCGCGGTCTTGCGATAGATTAAATGGTGCTGGCATATGTTAGATAAGGACAGATGTATGCGTTTTAGTGAGACAAAGCGATATATAATATTATGCAAGAATCAAATATGTTATCGAATTTGGAATTAAAAAAGTCTGCACTATCGACCTCCATCAAGTTCGGTAATCGGTTTAGGATCTCCTTAAGCATAATTATACATTATGCGTTCCAAAGTATACTTTCTTTCCATTATAATTATTAAATAATGAGACTTACTACTTTAAGATTACTATTAGCAAAGCTTTTAGCGTTTAAAGTTGTAAGTTAGATTTTAACGTATATAAAGTATACCCAATAGTTATATTTTGACGTATATAGAGTACACCAAATAAATTACATTATAAAGTGTAAAAAACAAAATTTAGTTTTCCAATTAATTTAAAACAATTATTACAAAACAGCATTAATAGAATGTTTGGCCTTAATAGAATCTTCTAGCTTCAGTGATAAAGATATTTAATGTTAAAAATTTAAAATGATATTAATAATGGCGATGATTTAATCATCTCGTAATGAAGTGTCTTCAATACGATTTGAAGAAAAGATTATTTCCTTACGCATTTTTTTGCGCATGGGAAATATGAAAATGTGAATGATGCTTGTGAATAACAAATTCAACTGTAGTTTTATACCAGATCTAGTGGAAAGAAAGTGTAACTTTGGGATTTTCTTTATATGTCTGTTATATGTGATTTAAGATAGCTGTGCTAGAATAAGTTTGATAATTCGAGCTGAAAGATTTAAGAGACACCGAGTGCGTTTTAATGAAATGTAATATTTGATTATCATGATTCGATAATCGCGCGTATAATTTTTCACTCAGTCGAATAATATTATAAGGAATATATTTATAAGAAATATATAGTGTTTAAATATACAAGAATGAGAAATATATATATATATACAAATCCTTTTATTTTTATCAGAATATACACAAATATAGTTTTATAATATGCATTTATCGTTTTATATAAGCTTTAATAGTGTGCTGTGTATTCCTTATAAATATATGACTGGTACAAATGATAAAGGATACTTCACATTCCGAGGATTATATTCACACCTCACAATTAGTATTAAATGCGACTGTCAGAAACTCGTATTATGTCAAAATTCGTATTTTTTTTTTTATATTTAGGCGCTCGTATTTAGTGCTAGTTGTAGCCTAAAGTTGCAACTTAAAGTAATCTAAAGAGAGGTGTAATTAAGTGTTGCTAAAATATCTTAAGGTACAATAATGGCAGCTTTAAAGCATGCGTGTATGTTATGCCTATGTTATAATTTCGTAGGTAAAATGACTTGTTATTATTATAGAATGCATATTCTATTTTAAATAAAATGATGAATAAAGAAAAACAACGAACAATCTGGTATTCCGATGGAGTTTATTTCTGTATGAGGAAACGTACACATGTGATACAACATACTTTGACATGGGTCAATTACTTAGCGGAGGTATGCTGTGTATGCTTTCCGCGCGAACGGTAAGCCGAGTGTATATTCGTTTATCTATCGAACGCACGAAGGTATATATAATTGATGTCACGATTTTTAATTCTTATCCGAACATTCTCTTTATCTCTTCAGAAATATCAAATTTCGATCGAGCATTTATTTAACAAAAATATTTTTTAATTAAATATTTACAATTTTTTTGAAATATTAAAATGCATTAAAAATAAAATCAAAAACAAACTTTCGAATAATCTCGAATAATTTTCTCTTACGAAGATCCTTAAGTGAAGATGTTCGCACAAGAATTAAAACGAGTCGTATATTACTCAAGAGTAAAAAAAACTCTATGCAAACTGAAGAATTTGTTAAAAATATTAGGTTTAAAACTATATCATACATTAAATTTTGAACATATTCGCATCAGAGTCTTTTTATATAAGTTATTGGATTATGTATGAATTATTTCATACATGGCATTAAAAATATAATTAGAAATTAAAGTTTATCTTAACTTTCCAGTTTATGGTCTATCGGACCTCGTTTTTTTAAATTATATATATATTTCTTTATTATTATTATTATTTTTATTATTATTATTATTATCTATGTATAGTTTTACGAGAAAAATTTAGTTTTTTTCCTCTAGGTTTATTATATAAGAGAGAGGGGTAAGAAGCAAAAAAAACCAAATATAAATTATATACATCATATGTATACATGGAATTGAACAACAGAATTAACAATATTTATACAACGTATTGTGCAAAAAAGTAAGAAGGACTGTGAATTTGTTATGTGAAGAGTCGGAATAAAAAGACATAATTTATATTACATGGGGAACTGAAGTTAAAAATAAAGTTAAGTCAATCTCCTCAAAAACTGGTTCCGGGCAATCGTATCGACTAGTCAGACACTAAAGTATAACATTATTATTCGTATGTGTGCCCTGATAATTCTCGTTTCACAGCATCTATACTTCACATCTATACTAGGCTTGCAAGATTCAAGCACTGATCGAAAAACTGAAAGCTTAATAATAATATACAATAAATATATATATATATATATCCACGAAGTCTTCAATAAACATTTTAACAACGATGAAAGCCACTTTCGCCTGTAACGATTACGAATCGTATGCGTGAATCGCGATTTTTAAAATAGGAGAAAAAATTGTTTCACTTGGTGCCTAAAAACGTAATTTATCATGATTTTATTTTGTTCAATTATCATAGTCGTCACGAGATGAGTCCTACATCTATTAACACTATAACATTATTTTCACACGAATATATATGCTACAATTACATAAATCATACTTTCATACCTGTCATGCTTTTTATCACTCTGTGACGATAACATTAGCAGTCTTAACGCATAGTTTAAAATGTGTATTTTAATAACCAACACACATTTGTGAAATGATAATTCGCGAATTAGACACCGATTGCTCATGGGATTGATAATTCCTTGGAGATATGAGAGAATTAATCCTTAAACTAATTCAGATATCGCCCATCTAAATGCAGTTCCAAATGCGTGCTATTTTCTGTTCTTTATATATTTTTATTGCTTTGGCCATTTGCTTACTCTAGAAATATATCTTTTATATTTTCGTCACTGTACATTAAATGCATGTGATTTAATATTTAATACATATTTAAATCAATGAATTCGTGACGAACCGCAATATTTAATATCGCTTTTCTCAAGTGAATCAATGTTTATATTTACAATTTATGTAAAAAATCATATAAATGATTTAACGTTTCAATTAATAATTATTGACCAAACGAAGGCATTATCGTTTCAAAAGTCATGAAACAGAATCGTAAAATTGTTCTGTCGCAATTCACGCAATACGAAACACCCCGGAAACAACGAATAATTTAACGCGTCGATATATTTCTCTATCTGCTACTTAATTAGAACTCTCGAGTTATATCATAATTACATTCGTAAGTGCTCCTAACGATTTATCAGGATATGTGCTATCCCGGAATAATATCGTCGCTACGTTGGCTTTCGCCTGATATGCGTATGATATTCTTGGCCGCAAAAGTGCGATCACAATTGGCTTCGCGATATGTATAAGTAAAGTATCTCTAGTCGTACTTCCTGGCTTTAAACTATGCAGTAATAATAGCGGTATTTGTGTGCTTCTTAGAATCTAATATAGAACACCTGGCACGTGTATATCGGACGTATACAGGGTGCAATTGAAACGGACGCGAGCGAGTCACCGGGCGTTGAAAATGTACAATATAAATTCTGCAATTATATATAAATCCAATTATATATAAATTCTTAATTTTCCAACGTTCGTGCGATTCGGCGATTCCGAGAAAACTCTTAACGGCGTACATTTTGACTGTACCCTGCATACGCGAGAATACGTGTATCTTTAATCTCGGCAGCGGAGGACTGAAACTTCTCTTCGATGACGCCTCTCGAGGAATTCTGTAAAAATACGCGTGTCTCTGTTACGATGACGTTTCGTATTTTTATGATATCAATGCATTTCGAAATTCGTCGGAAAAGGAAGTGACTCGATGTTTTAAATTTTTTTCCGCCACCGAGCGTATTCTCGAATGCACGCGTTGTTATAATATATATGTATCTTCTTTTCCATTCCTTTCTCAACAATAACGAGGAGGCATCGTGCTCCCTCGTACTTTTCGCTAAATTAACTTCCCTGATTAACTCCCGTAAAATTCGAACTCGTAACTCGTGGCTACGTAACACAACGAAGCAATTGAATAATAATAACAACGCAGATATACACCTCAGAGAAGAGAACAAAGCTTTAACAAGGAAGAACCGGAATTTCTTCAAGATTCTAATTTTAAGAATATGAATAGGAAAACTGTAACTTTTCATTGAAGATTCACTAATCCATTTCCTTCAAAAACTTGACGAAATTAAATCTCATACTATAACATAGTAAATCTAAAACGCGAATTTGAGACGACTTCATAAAGTATGAATAACGTGAATAAATTTATCGCATTTAACAATGTTTCTGTAATAAGCAGATAAGAAGATGAGGGAGATTCGATATATAGTGAAGTCGTAGTGCTAATTTTTCTTTTAAACACGCAAGAAATCAGAAACAGTATTGATCAGACAGATCGCGATGGGATATGAAACAGATCGAAAATTTATATCTTTTTTGTGTACAACAACACATTCCCTTTCATACGAATCTGACAGTAAAAAATCTTGTCCAAAGCTTCTCCCGTGGTATCCATTTTCCCTCATTTTCTCTAGCAATTAATTACAATTATATCTTAACTAGAGGAACTATCGAGAAGCTAACTAAACGCTGACACCTAAATAACTTTATCTTATAGCCGCGACTTTATCTTATAGAGGCGATTCCTCGCGATCAATCGCCGTTACAACTACAACAAGCATACGATGCTATCGATAACAGCAATACTCCAGTACGAGAAACCAAGGCGAGTGTGACAGATCGCCTAAATTATCTAAATCGCAGAATCGAAGAAATGCGAATTCACCTCTGCTTCAACGAATTAAATATTAAAAATATATTGTTCGAAGAAATGGGATCACGAAAAAATTTGTAGGAAACAATATTACATGTATATCTGATATTTGATATGTGTTTGGTAATTTGATATGTATATAAATAGATATGCAATAGATTTTTATAGAGAAATAATTTTTAATGAATTAGTTAATTAAATTAATAATCTCTGAGAAGAAAATAGAGTATTTCATTTCTGCCGTATTACTTATATAGATTCTTCAGCTAATTTAAAATTAATTTTTCCAGCGGAAACCTCGAGAGAGATCGTCTATAATTTATAGTAATTTATAAACTTTTCACGCTTTGTATTTTCATGTAAAATGTACTCAATTTTAAACTTCTGTTAAAATTAAGTTTATTTAAAATTTACTGATAATCTTGTTATTTACTTTTCTTCGCTGAAGCTAAGTTCGTCAAAAATGGTTTTTTTTATCTTTTAATTGTTTAAGAACTATAAGTGATATAGAAAAGCAGACTTTTTAAACGAGTTAAATTTATCATTGTAGTGGTTGATGTGATATGATAAAAGTGGAACACTATTCTTAAGATATGCAATTCTTTGGCCCTTTCTGTCATGATCCCATTTAAATGGACAATAATACATAAATAATATCAGATCTAACACGAGCATAATAATGCTTGATAGTCACGTCGAGCGATAAGTTTATCTAAATTGTGTAAAGTTGAGAAATCTGTTTCTCCCCTATTCGTGAGATCGGTACGTACCAAGATTTGAGACCGATATTATTTCGATGATATCACCTTCATGCATTTGAGGCATGAAATCCAATCTGAACAGAATTGTATCAATGCTACATAGTTATCATTATGTTAATTATCTTTTCCCGAATCTGAAAAACTGAATTTGGAAAAATCAATTTTTCACAAAAAGAGGCATTTATGACTTTCAACTGATTTCAATTATTTTCAATTAATCTTCGGTTCCTGGCAAGTCAAGCTTAGGACAAACAATAAATAACAAAATCATATCGATGGTCAAAACTTAAAAAAGTGGTAATCTTTTATCAACATTTTCGTCGAAGGAAAAATGTTTTCTGAATTGGCCAGGAAATTACGATTAAAAGAACATTCAATGATCTCTCCAAGAGAAACTGCACAAATATTGTTACATAACGACGCACATAATTACGATTATGTTAGTTACACGTGCAATTTTGTCGAATCAACCGTATGTATAGCCTGTATAGCCATAGTTTATCGGTCGCAAACCCTGGCACGGTACGGGGTAGTCAGCTACGGTAAATCGTAGGGAGTAGAAGAATAGCGCGATAGACAGATAGAGCTATACCGTCGACGATCGATCGGCTCTTGACGAGTCGAGCGATACGATCCGCCGACCTACCTAAGAATTGGACAAGAGTTTACTGTGCGGGCGCCAACATACGTACGATTGGCCATATTTAGTGTGTTTCTGCGGTAGACGAATCCCGCACGCTGGAAAGTTTGTAATAATTGTAACACCGAATAACGGAATTATCCACGAAAGTTCAAATTGAATTCCTAAGAAGATTGAGGCAAATTAATCGAGAACACAAGTCATGAACAGCTTTACACTTTTATGCCCGTTTCTACCAATGTAGTTTAATTTTAATCTCAGTTCAACTAACTCTTCGTCTTTTTCCAGTTCTAAGAATTAGAAAAAGATGAAAAGTAAGTTGAACGGAGATTAAAGTTTATCTACAGAATTGGAGAATTTTTGGTGAATTTAACATATTCTACACGGTCTACTCAAATTTTTGTGTTAAAGTAACACAAGATGATGTTTGAAAGTAATACAAACATTATGTAAAAAATTAACACATAAAACTGACACAATTTGTAAGCAATCATATTTCTTCATTAAAATTAACATTTATAATATATTATATATATATATATATATTAACATATATTTTATTTATTTATCTTAGAATTTTCATTTAAAAAATATTTTTATGTTATTCATTCACTTACTCATAAATTGTGTTATTTTAACTAACAATAAGAAATGTTGAATTGTCAATTTAACACAAAATTTTAAGGACTCGAGTGGGCCGTTTCTAACACAAATATAAAATATTTTTTACTGTGTACTTTTGAAAACGGGCATTAGTGAACTAAAAATTTCTTTTTCGTTGGAAACTCAGATGGACAATGAGGAAGATCGGAGATGTGTTATTCCTTTTCCTTCATGCGGAAATTCAAGATGTCCGAACGGAATTCTCGGCGCTTGTGTAACAAGCGGCTCTCCAATCGACAAGTAATTTTTATCGTCTCAGCGGTTTTTCCAGCACGCGGGCGTAACGCTCGAAGAAACTTTATTCTTCTCTCTCTTGGAGCGGACTAGAGTTTTAAAACGACCGATCGATCTATAACATACGACGCCTACTATACGACGGCTGCCGCTGAAGGATTTTTAATTCGCCGTCACCGCGAACGAGATTACGTAAACGCGCGTGTGTCTTGTATGTGTGCGTGTGTGTGTGTGTGTGTGTGTGTATGTGTATGTGTTTTGAACATACTTCTCTAGAAAACAGACAACGAGAGATATATTCATTTCTAGTACACCAGCCCACACAACGAAGGACACCTTAAGAATTACTGACAAACTCGCGCCTTTTAATGACGCTTCTCTTCTTCGTGAAGAAAAATTTTTCTTCTCTCTTCACAGAAAGAACAATTTTGGTGTATCTAAAAATTTAGTTGGATACATATTTTTTAAAAGTGATATCTTTGAATCGTTAAAATAATTATGTTGGACGCCGAAACTGATCGCTAGAATGTCAAAATTTTTCGCTGCATTGCTTGAGTGTCTTACATAATAATTTTGATAATCCAACAAAATTATTTTTAATTATTATCTGTATCTAGCTAAATCTTTAGGTACTTCAACAAAATCATTCTTTATTTCTACATATGTTCCATAGAGATTTATTATATCAAACCAACGATATATTTAACGAGTTGTGCGGGAACGAGTTGATAAATCTCTCTCTTGCGCTACATCTACGCTCGCGTTCCTTAAGTTTACAAGTTATACTTTCATACAGTATTTCATGCAAGGGTGCTCCGAAAGTCGTGCTCTCCACTTCGTCCGAATGGAGTAATTAAATTAAAGTCAACCGTAATAAAATAAACCTAAAGTTTATCGCGAAAAATCGAACGAAATGACGATACGTGAAAACGAAAAATGCTGCTTCTGATACAGACGCTTTGCATTTGCGAACTTTTCGAATGGAATACATTAAAAACATCATAAATGAGGGAAAGCGGCCTCGATGTCATTCGATTGTGCATCTTACGGGTTCGATTTACCCGCGTTTCGAATCACCCTCATGCGATGCGCGAAGCTCTTCTACCTCAGCCCTACGTCCCCCCCGTTAAGGGAAGCTGTGCTGCGTTTTGCAACTCTTGTGTTTTGCGAAACTATCACGCGCACGTCTATCACTTCTTTGAATTCTTTATCATAGCCGCCATGTCCCGCAGACTCTGCTCCAAGGTTTGCGCGAATTGCATCGCGCTGGTCCTACCGTCGCTGTGGAAGGCCGAGACCGAGAAGATGAAGCCGTTCTTCCTCACGTTGTAGGCGCACCCATAGCCGTCTGGCACCACCGGCCCGTATCCGACGATCACGTCGTTTTTCGTGGTAACCTGCGAGATAAATCTTACCTTCATTTCAAGCTTCACGCAGTTAAAATATAATATATGACGCCGAAAATGTATTATTCTTGTCCTTTTAATGACAGCTCGATTGCCACCGCTACTGAGCTAAAGAAGATGATGTGGTACATAGACGGAGACTTTCTTATGGAGAGGAACTTTCCACACTCAATTAACTCCTGTAGATATTGAATTTCACACCCAGAATTCGGGGTATTTAAAAAATATATATTAACCCCCCCTGGTGAAAATTTTTTTCTCTGAATTTTTCATATAATTTTTCAGAATCTTTATATAATTTTATGATTTTCTCATATTTTTTATACGAATTTTATACACTTCTCAGAAAATCTACATCTTTTCTCAGAATTTTCCATATATGTTAATCATGAAATATCGTAAGAGAGAGATTTCTAAGATTTTTTATAAGTATAATTTCTGATGAAATGTTATAAAAAATTTAAAAATATTTTTTACAAATTATGGGATGAGAAATCTCAGAATATTTCAGAATTCACATGTATGAAAAATTCTGAGAGAAGATGTGAACTTTCCGAATATTTCTGAGTATTTCTGAAAAATGTTCCAATTCGTATAAAAATTATAAGAAAAATTTTCACTAGGGAATTTTTGACAAATTTTAAAAAATTTTGAGTAACTTTTCAAACATTCAGAAAAGTCTCCGTCCTTGGTACGACAATAAAGTTCGGTGAATGTTATGAAAAAATAAACATTAATTAATATACAAATGACCTTTATTGTTCTTTAAAATAATTCTTCCTGGAGACAATATACTTCCGCGTGACAACAATAAGACTTAAGGCAATGTCGGAAAATAACTTTTCACAGAGTTTCCGCAAGCTTTACGAATGTTGTCAGAAGTGTATTTTGTCTTCAGGAGAGATTACTTTGAAGGACAAGAAATGTCATTCGTACATTAATGAAGTGATGTTTATTTTCTCATAATATTTATCGAACTTATTGCGATACCACGTATCTTCAAGCGTAAATTTTCTATAGCGTAAATTTCTTTTAGCGTAAATTGAGAATATAACTAATCGAAAGATAGATCTGAGCTTCGCAAAATGTATCCGCGAAGGAAGTATTCTACTGATAACTAGATATTAAACGTCACCTTGGAATAACATGCACGAGCGGATATATTTTTATTCTATGTTAATTAAGATCGTGTTTTCTTAAGATGTTAATCGTCTCCTCGATTATGTAACTTTTCTGAAACAAATTGATCGTATCGCGTCGACCTCGAGCTGTCCGAGTCGTTAAGTACCTTTATAAAATGTGCTTACGACATGATAGACCACTTTAACTAACAATCTTTATGGCATGCATCATATAGTAATCATTAATAATCAAGAGGCGAAACGTTCTCGTCGAAAAAATTTTTAAACTTCCGCGACTTGTCATCATTTTTTGGAGAAGCCAATAATTCTAAGTTTGTGCCATTTCACTTTACAATTATCATAAATACACACTTTTTGTTATAACAGAGAACTTACGAAATATGAATTCATGCATGGGCGTAATCAGAATTTCAATCAGAAGAAGACAGACATTTATATTCATACAAAACTATTATTAAAATATTTATTCTTTCAGTAGGGATCACCTCGCTTTTAATACCTCGTCTTCTATCTATTTATTTGTCAAAGAATTTTATGAATTTTAATTATTTTAATATGACGGCTTAAATTATTTTATATACTTGATTGGTAAAACTGCAATGTGGATAGGAGATTTGATTTATTATATCAATAAGCATTGAAGAGGACTCAAATCGAGATCGATACGAATGCGATATTGTATGTATAATTTGTACGTAATTATTAGCGAATATACACAAATAATTTACGCATTAATAACTGCATTAACCATACAGGCATTCTTTCTTTTATTTTTAAATACTTATACTTAAAGCTAGTCTTCGAAAATCTTCAGCGAACTTTCTTATTAATAATGCGTGAATTATGCATTGGTCAACGAATATTTAATTTTTCGTCGTAAAAATTATTTTCATAATTTATTTGTTTCTTCTTTCTAAAATTTAAGGGGAGGGGCAAGCGCTCCTCTACCCCCCTTTGCGTACGCCCATGCATTCACGGCTAATTGAAAGGCAACGATGTCACGAATTTGACGCCGATGATGAATTGACCTTGATCACTGACCTGTGACGTCGAGAGGGCGAAGTGATTAACGATTGCGTAAGCCTCGTCCGTGAAGATCTCTGGAATCGGCTCACCGACCTCCTTCGCCGCGTAACGCAGCCCCATCAGATGATTATCGATACCCTGACCATATATGTTGTCGTTCATCTCTTTCGTCTGTCTCTGCACCGCCAGATCGAACAGCTCCTTGATCCTTTCCGCCTGGGGAAGCGAGCCGGAAGCAACGTTCAATTGAGTCCAACGCGATGGATCATTCGAATCTTTTTTCGACGAAGATTTTCCCGACACATTATATCGAAGATCAATAAAGAGCTCGGAGAAATCACGAAGGAATCGGTACGCTTCATTAATTTTAACCAGGTAGGTTTGATACTCGATCTGTATATCTTAATGAATTTTAAATTAATCTTTCTGCATCTAATTATGCGAATTTGTACCGTAATTTCCTTTTCATGATATTCCGATTTTAATAAACAGTGAATTTCTTTTTTGCGATTATCATTTTGTGAAATAGACTTATTGTTTTTGAAACATGGAGGTGAGAAGCAACATCGAGCGTGAAGGTAATTGACGTTTATTAAATCAGCTCTCATGTATTAAATGAATAAGATTCGAAAAGTTGCAAATAAAACAAATAAAGAATGCTAAGCAGAAGATAAGTTAATATAATTTCCATAAAATGAAGAAAATAAGCTTGGCGGAGATTAACTCGTAAATTTTACAATTATTATCATAATAATTTTGAAGGAAATATAACCGCGAATTTTGAAGGAATATACCTTTGTAGAAAATTCAACTCACTATGAACAGGAAATGATGATGGAAGAAAAATGGAGCGGCTGAAACAACATCTCTGCTAAAAGGGAAACAACCGAGCACGATAAATGAGAAACAACAGCTCGTTGCCACAGTATTTTCCGAACAAGGGCGAATCGTGTGTAAGGGAAACAAACGGAATATCCCCGCGGAACTTGCCCGGGTGCCTCTCGAGGATCGTGCAAATACTCGATCGTGAAGGACGAATGAATTGTGCCGGCGGACCGGGACTAATTGATTGCCTTTTCTTCGGGGAGTTCCCTAGTTTTTCTTTCATCCGACCGTTGCTTAACTTACGGATCTTACATGACAAACTGTTTTTATAACTATTTTTATAACCGCCAACTATTTATTTTGGAGCACTTGCACTTTAAGAAAATATAAATGTAAAGAGAGACAGAAGTATAGCTTGGATATAATTTGAGAAGCATTATTCATATATAACGTAAATAAAAATCACATATAAATAACGTTGACATTCGTACATAGCGTTGTTACACACCGATGACTTTGTGCACCTTACAGATAAAGATCGGCTGAAGCATAGTGTATACATATAAGTAACGTAACGTACACCAATCAATCGTAATTGCAAAAATCACATAAGTGTAACGTCAATATAAAATTGTAATTGCAGAAATATCACATAAACGTACATGAATTATCTAATTGGGCGGCGAAAATATATTTAAAAAAACTGATATGATCTAATATAAATGAAAAAAAAAACATAATTTTTTATAATAGTGTAAGACAAGAGACACGTGTCTATAAATGAAAAAGAAACAGCGTAGATGTTATACCGAAACCTTTTCGTAGATAGCTGCATTTGGCAATGCAAATGGGCAATACGACCAACCACTCAGAAACTTGTCGTAACACTGCAAAAGATGCATCGTGATGTACATGAACGAAATTACTTCGAACACGCGATTGTACTTCACTACGAATTCGTTATTATTACGTAGCGAAAGTACTCGAGGCAAGATTTTTGAAAATAGCGTTTTCAACCGGCGATCCATCAAGTCGTGAAAATATTGTGAGTGCTCAATCATTCAACTATCCATTATTTTCAACATTAAATTTTCTTAAGATTAGCATATCCAGCAGAATATTACTAAGGTTTCGTTATCTTACGCAAATAAATTGTCTTAATCAAATTATCTGCAAATTATACCATAAATTATATCAAAGAACTTACGCAAAATAATCCGTACAAAATAAAATTTATTTGTATTTACAAAACAACGGCAAGGAGCGCTTAAAGAATTAAGGCATTGAGGCGAGATTGGAGGAAAGTAAAGTAAAACGCATTCCGCTCGACCTTGTCGCAGTTCTGTCGAGTGTACTCGAGCTGTGTGTGTTACACGACACGAGAATCGCATAGGAAAAATGCCAAGTTTCAGTTACACTGTAAATGGTGAACTGAACTCTTTTGGGGCTCCCGTCCATGGCGTTGTTCGGCTGATTCATCTGGCCGTGAGGATCGCCCTGGCACATAGCTTTCGCCCACGCCAGCGCTTCTGGACTGGCGGCTCGGATGCAGTCCACGCGACCCAATGCGAACCTCCGGATGCCGGCGCTTTCGTAAGTAGCCACCAGCCTCCCGTGAAGTCTGCGAACACCGCGAAATTATGAAATAGCAACGATTTGGGGTAATTTATCAATAATTTTTGTCTGTCATGGTCACTTCCTTCCACGTAACAATCAAAGGTTCAAATGACAGTTTTTCATGTAAGATTCTATTCCCGAATCTAATTTTTGCTATCAAATTTCACGTAGCTGTATTTTGAAACGACTAATACGGAAAGAACGGTTTACAGAAGTGTCTAAAAATTTAATTAAATACAAATCTGAAAGTAATTTTGTTGGACCATCAAAATAATTATGTAGAACTTAAATAATTGATAATAATATTGAAAAAAGTTTTGATATTCTACGATCAGTTTAAATGTCCTACATAATTATTCTGATAGTCCAAACGAAATCATTTTCAGATCTGTATCTAGCTAAATTTTTAGATACTTCAACAAAACCGTTCCGTGTACTTCAATAAGGTACATATACTGTATCTAGAACGAATATGGGAGAAGGCAATTTTTAAGATTTGGACATTAAAGAAGAATTCCTCTTCACTTCTAGTATATTTCACCTGAAATATGTAAGTTGGAGTGCTAATTGTATATACGCGTCCGGGCTGACTCTGCAGGACTTTATGAACTCCTTCGAGTAATCCTCGAACCACAGAATACAGAGGTCCAAATCTTCGACCAGACTGAAGGACAAAAAAAATATTATGAATGCAGATTTACAAATAGAATATCTTGCTTTCAAAGTTTTTTTTCCTTTAACAATTTTCGTAAGGATTGGATTTGCAGGTAGAAACGGAACAACAAGCTTTCCATATGATTTCTTTCTTTTTTCCAGAGTTACTTACGCGTCAAAGTTCATCATGGCTTCTCGGATGTCGTTCAGACTTTGCTCGGTGAGGCACCACTCTAGCTTTTCGGGTGCCGGCAGATGCGAGGGTACCAAATTTTCATCCGGCGGCGACATAGAATCCACTTTCTCCGTTATATCCTCGAATGCATTGAAAACGGCCGGTGCTTCGCCAGCGGAATGTTCATACGTCAATCCCCACATTCCGTCCTACGTTAAGTGTTATACAAAACGATCATTGATAAAAAATGTAGCAGGACATGGTCCTGGGCCAAAATCTGAGTAAAGTGCAAAAAACAAAAAAAATTGAATAATTTTGCTTTTTTTCGTATCGAGAAGTGACAGTTTGTTTTAAATATCAGAACGATCACGGATAAAAAAAAATAACGTTTCATGGAAGGTAATATTTGATCAAGAATTCGTGTAAAAAATACATGAAAAAATTTAATAGAAATCTGCTCCGTTCCATTTCGCAAGTCTTTTTTTAAAACGATATAAATTATATATCATGTAATAAAACTATTGATATTTGAACGTGAATAAATTAAGTTATAGTTGGATGCCCTATAAATGATAATTACATGTTCAATCTCAAGAAAATTAAAAAAGAATATTAATGGAAAAATTATCTGATAAACATGGATAATACAGAAATATGCGCAAAAAATATTATATATACTAAATAATTAACATTCGTAAGTTATTCGTTATTTGCCGTAATTGTTACAAAACTAATTATATATGATCGTTTGCCTATATTAACGTATTATTATCGCGCATTAATAATTAATGTGAATGGCTAAAAAAGAGGAAACGATCGATCAAACAATCTCGTTCATTAAGGCAATATGATTAATAAATAGAAACGTAGAGATATCCTCATCGCGAAAGATTAATTAACCAATCAATCGTAAATGAAACACGACAGGGAGGTAGAGATCGAATGCGCGCGGGACCATTTTTATCATCCGTGGAAATATTCCGACAGGAAGAAGTTAGACAACACATTCCGTCGTGTGGCATATGAAAGCAACGTTACCACAACGTCGCGGGTTCACGAACGATGATTTCGCCCGTGAACCCTGACACCAATCAAATCGAAGAGTCATCTTGGAAGCGGTGAAAGTGATAAGTTCAATTCGGCCGAGCGCATCCGCAGAAAAAAACGTTCCATCACGAATTGTTGCCTGTTAGGAGAGTTTCTCAGGAAACGCTAGAAGTATCATTTGGTATCGCGTGTGCGTTTTCTCAATTTATGGGAATAATAGAGAACTCTATTAAATGTCTCTAATTGCGCCAAGCACGTTCGGGTTTCGATCAGATTACAATAAAAAATCAATTCCATTTACTTCACTTCAAATTTGAATATCGGATGCTAAATTAAATTTCGAATCGATCTCAAATATTTACATATCCAATTCGCTTACATCTTGAAAACTTTTATTGGCTTTCACAGCGATTCTAAAATAGATGAAGTCATCTCGTTTCATTTCGAAACAGAAAATATGATGATCGAAATATTATGTAATATATTTATTGTGCAATAAAAACGAAACGTGAGCGTATTTACGAGTATCGTGGATCGACTGTCGACGTGTAGTAATTAATGTATGTCCGTTAAACATACTTTGCCAAGGATAGCGTGGAAAGTTTTGTCGAACCAGCGATTCGCGCCCAAGTGCCGGGACCCTCCGCCGTGGAGAGCGTGATGAAGCACGTTCGCGTAATCTCGATCGCCAATCCATCGGTCCTCCTTCTTCATAGGATTGTTAAATGTAGTAGGCAGCACGTCGTCGTCGATGCAAACGACGCAGAGACAACGCTCCAACAGCTCCAGATTGTGACGATTGCGCTCATCTGGAAGCCGTTTTGCAGTCTCGTTAATTCAAACGACAATCCAGCTTCGATGTAACAATTTTTGTGAATCGCAGCAAAAATGTATTAGGGATTATAGTAACGCCGTTCTTATTGTTACTTTTTATAATAACAGTTTAATAATGAAATTGCAATTTTTTATGACAGTAACGATAACTAACTAAAAACTAAGATTGGGAAAAATTCATTTTTAAAAGTTACTTGTCACCATCATGTGTTGTTTAGTAAAAAAAAAGTAACTTATTACTTGTAACCGAGTTAAAGTAAAAGTAACAAGTCGATATGTTACAAATAATGAGTTATTTTTTCCAATAAATGACGTATAATGGTGACAAATTATTTTTCAGAAGTTATTGTAGAAAGTAACGGTAAAAGTAACGTTCCCATCTCTGGATCAACATGTTAAATTTACTGCCTATATTATGGTCTTATATCTCTACTGTGATTAGCTTTATTACTTGTGTTTTATTGTTTAAGTTTTTTGTGTCCTGTGACCCATAATAATACGAAAATAAATATTACGAAATATATTTAAATATAATATTACGAAATAATACAAAAATAAATAATGAGGAGCGATAATGAAGAATCTGCAATAATAATGGAAATCAAATGGAAAATATTAGAAAATTTGCATTACCTGCAGTGAAAAGTTAAAAATATTCATTGTTTTTTTTTCGCAGCGGTTTAAAAACAGGTCGTCTCTTTTCATTTCGAAGCGTGGAAAAAGATAAGCAATTTATGTAATATAAGTTTTAAGTAGCTTTGTTGTACAAGACTTACGCCGTAAATACGAAACTGGAACGCATTTACGAGACGAGATCTATTAGAACGAGACGTCGCCGGGAGCTTGCTATTTTAGAGTTACAATCTCTCCGTTGTCTTCACGACGCTAACGAACGCGGGTCGCCGTTAGCTCGTTAGTGTCGACCGTTTATTCGATTTGTAGGCGTAGGTTCTCGTTGAGCAAGGTCGGGTTAGGGAGTTAATAGGAATATTGCGAATATTGGCGAAGCGGTGAACGCGAGTGAATAATTATGGCGAGGGCACGTGGCGACGAGGGTCGTCCAAAGACACGGGCGAGCTACTTTTTGGGTAACCAGATTATTACATTTCTTTCTCTTTCTCTGTCTCTCAATAATAAAATAAAAACCGCAGAGAAAGGATTTTGTCCAAGTATTTAAACATTTAAGTAGATACAGATATAAAAATTTGTTTTTTGCATCAAAATAATTATGTAGAAAACTCAAGAACGATAAGTTGCAAAAAGTCATGACATTCTCTAACAATCAGCTTGAACGTCCTATATAATTATTTTAATAGTCCAACAAAATTATTTTCTACATTCAGTTAAAATTTAATGTACTTCAGTAAAACAATTTTTCCCATAATTGAAAAGCTTCATGAATAAATCATTTAACTGACAACATACAACATTACGAAGCATGAAATTTATTTTACACGTGACACATGTCACATGCAAAATTTCGCATATTTAGAAACAAAATGAACAAAATCAATTATGATAATAAGCGATATAATTATTTTAATGATTCTGAAAGAGTAGCTGTTGTAATGTTTTGCATCACATGAAGCTGAACTAATTGTGTTTTTATTCGTTCCAAGAAACTGAACATTACACGCGTTATGGATCAATAAAGTTTTTTATCTCCTTTCCAGGTCCTATAAAAACGATATTAACAATGCTGCTCGAAGAAGCTCGACATAATGACGACAAAAAAAGACCTTAGATTCTGCTTTAAAAGAATTATGAGCTTTCTCTAATTAAATCGCTTCGATGCTTATTAATCTACCTTTAATCATGAAAGCTTAAAAAAAAGTCGACAATTTTTTTTTTACAACCGCGCTGCTCTTTTTCTGAAAGAAAAATTCGCAGCGTGAGAGCCACTGAATTAAGAGCTTAAAGCACGATGTTCTCTTCGTAAATGGAATGCTTATACTCAGTGGACACCTTTAATCGTGTCATACGTACTTTTTATCAGCTCCTCCCGCGCCTTCGCCCAGGCTGGTCGTTTTGTGGTCGTGAGAATTCCGACTGGCGGAGTTCTAGGATCAGCTTTGGTTTCCATGATCCTTAATAACTGTTGGACCAATTCTATTTCCGTGATTCGACCTCGATCCGATGCCCTCACCGGCACGCTGTAAAACTGCGAGAGAACAATTAAACAAAGATCTCATGACAACATCTGTAAAATATCTCGATCTTCTCTGGACACCACATCGTTCAATAAAATATTTTTGATAGTTTAACAAATTAATTGAAGTTTCAGAAATAATAAAACAAAATTAATCTACATATAATTTAATTGATGAATAAATCCTGAAACACGAATGAAATCCTTTGAAATACATTAAAGAGCGAAATGTAGAAATGTACAGAAATTATCGTCGTAATCATTTCCTATCAATGTGATAATATCCATCTCTGAATCTCACCTGATTATGATGCGCGACGATAATGTGGTCGCCGGAGGATGCTCTATCCAGGATAATTTGCTCGTCGTTGTTTACACCGGGTCGTCGATAAATCCGGAATATTTGGTAATGCTGCGCCATGCAGAGCGGTTGCATGGTCTTGCTATCCTTGGATTTCACACGTTCAACCTCCAATCCGGATCTATTCAAATCCAGAGCTTATTCTTTCTCTCTCTCTCTCTCTCTCTCTCTCTCTCTCTCTCTCTCAATAAGTCGTATCTGCGCGCATTTTATTTGTTACGAACGAGTTAAAGCTTACAGACACAGCCCGTATAAATTAATATCCTTGAGTAACAGAAGTATACAAGCTCATAAATATTTGCTGATTTTGAGATTTTTTTAAGTTATTGCAATATCGAGAAAATCTGCAAATTTCCACCTAATTCATATTAATTTATGCAACCGCATCAATTTATCATATTAATTTATTCAATTAGTTTATTTATTCAAGATTTTATAAAAATTTTATAGAAAAAAAATTAACTTGTGAGAAATAAAAAAGTAGAAGTAGAATCGACTTCCTGTTGACTTCTTCGTTCTCGCCTTTCAGATCTCTCCTCGTTTTATTTCAAAGAAACGCGAGACAAGATGAGCTACGTTTGCAGTTAAGAAAACCTAGAGACGGGCCTCCCTTCGCGAATTTGCGTTAGTTTTTGAAAGAAAGGAACACTCTCCTCTCCCGCAGTGCCGGCTTCTTCTCGTCCGGATGCAGGATTCTGAGGATCCTTTGAGCTCGCGGAAACGTCCGCTCATTCTCTCTCGCGGGTCCCTTTCCTCTTTATGTTCGCTTTCTATGGATCTTACGGCCCGGATTTCCTCGCAGACGTACGCCCTCTCTAAATTGATTTCAGCGCGGCTTCTTTTTGTCCTCGATCAAGACGACGAGATCAGCACGTCGGCTCGTCGCGTCTTTCCCTCGATTATTAGCGAATTTGCGCTCTTCAATCTCAACGGTTGCTCCAAAATGCGCGTTCAAAATAAAGGGCAAATTGTATGCAATAAACCCACGGAAAGAATATTGTTGAAGCATTTAAAATTTAATCCCATATAGATCTGAAAATATTTATATTAGGCTATAAAAATTATTATGTACAAAGCCGTGATCAGACTAGAGATTAAGATTGAGATTAAATTGGAATTTCATCAATCAAAGCAAAATTCACTAAACTTGAGATTAGTTTCCTTTCTTCTGTTTAATTAAGTTCCAATCCAATTTTAATCTCTAGTCTGGTCAAGTTTAACACTCTTCGTATAGAAATTTTTCAAAATCTTCTCAAATACATCTTAGATTCTGATTAGAATGCTCAAATAGATAAATTGTATCAATTAGGAAATCTATTTTCATCCCAAATTTGGGTTTTATGTTTAGAATCGAAACAGAAACAATATAGAAATTTTCACATTTCCTTTTTTTCACGAAAATTGTGTTATTTTTATATGGAAATAAAATGGGAAATCTATATTTATTCCAAGTAGGTAAATCGCACTGCGATACGAATTAGGAAATCTACTTTTATCCCAAACATAATGAATAATGCTGTAAAAAGTATTTTTGATATTTCAGCAACCAGTTTGAGCATTCTACATAATTATTTAGATGGTCTAACAAAATTCATTTTAAATCTGTAAAAATTTATTTTTAGATACTTCAACAAAACAATTCTTTCCGTGCGATGCTCGCATAGAAATGATCGTAAAAGTCGACGAAACTTCTACACCCGAGTTTAATGGTATTGAAATATTCGATACGTCCTCTGCTGCATTGAGCGACGGAAACCTTGCGACTTATGATTGAATACGATTCACATTCCGGATTATCATATAGAATGAATGAGCAAGATTGCAGAAAATTGCAAAACGCTATCTCACCTGTCCAGCAATTCCTGATAATTAAGCAGCTCGGTGAGAAATCGCGCGAGGAATACTGCGGCTTCCTGCTGGTTCGCAAATCTTTTCGGTTTCGCAGCCAAGCCGGGATTGCTGTTAATTGGCAGGGCCAGTGGGACGGACATGTACATGTCATTTAGCCACCATTCTGTCGCCTACAAACGGAATTAATATATCATTAAATAAATAGATAATTTAATAACCACACGTTTTTGTATGCAATTAGAGAGTTACAAATTGTTATTAATTATTAATCATTATTACAGTTAAGTGTGGTCGTTGTTGATTATTAGGTGTACAGTTAAATGCAAAATCATTCAGCAATGCAGATTGCGATTAAAAATTACGTAGGTTTATGCGATTCAATGATGGAGAACGACGGGCCGATGATCGTTACGTCATAATACGTGAGAAGCGTTATCATCGTGAGATTGCATAATAATAATTATGCTAATTACTCGAGATGACGTCGCGCAGCCTTGCGTGAAAGTATACCCGGAAGACTGCCACATGAAAAATAAAATATATTGGCGAAAAGAGATTCTCGAGGGAAGTTACAACCGAGAGCGCACCGGTAGTTGCGAGCGTGATTATTTTGCGAAGCAATGATTTGCGAGAAGACACTAATGTGTAGTCAGGAATGCTTCAAACTTCCCGGAAAGAAATCATTCGCGACCAATTAGGTATTATCGTGCGTGATTCGTTTATAGAGTCGATAAGCAGCTAATGATAATAGTTGCTTTCCATTTATATCAAAACTCAGATATTTCTCATTTGTGACGTCATAACGCAGTTGAATGCACGTTCCTTTTCATTCTGACAAGTGAGATGCAACTGAATTTTTTACCTACAATCTGCACAAGCTCGAAGCCATGTGCTTTACTGAGTATTATTAACTCACGTTAAAAGTGAAATTATAAACACGTGTTGTTACACGAACTTTGTCACCAAAGTAAGCAAGTAGTATAAAAACATAACTTTAGACTTTACTCAGTATCACTTGTGCGAAAATGGAAAGCAACTAATACTATCCAGCATGTCTCGAAAGCAGGAAAGTCTCGTAGATGCGTATTGAAACGCACTCGGACGTTTCTTCCGTCGTAAATTATATTGTCGTACCCGGCATGAGATTTAATTTTATTGTCAGTTTAACCATCACTTTCTTGTCGTTTTAATCGCGCATAATTTTATTGCGTAATTCAACGTCGCTCCAACGTGTCGCGATATCGTTTTTGACGCTCGACAATCGGGGATCAGCCCCGTACGTCATTAAATGCGGATTAAACAATCGAGTTTTGCCGCCGACTTTCGTTTTCGCGCGCGTCGCGTGATAAAATCACTCGTGCTAAAAGAGGGAATGGCACAATTGCTGTTAAACTTAAAATACGTAGTTTAGAAGTCCTTTTAAATTGCTTTTTAAAGTAGTGTCTCGATATGTCGAGCAGTTTTTTGGATTAATCCATTTTTGCCAATATAATACATATAATTACAAATATAATAAATACAAGTATAATTAGCTTTAATTTCCGTTTAACTTATTTTTATTTTTTTCTGTTGTAACAATTAAAAAAAGGTAAAAAAACTGTTAAATCAAAATTAAAGTTCATCTACAAAAAATAGTAAAAATGGATTTAAATGCAACAAAGATTTCCAGAATTAATTAATTAATGTAAATGCTAAAAAAATCTTCAGAAATATTAAAATTTTATAAAATTACTTCCAATTTTTTACAACTTTTTTAATTTATTTTGGAATCCAACTATTGAAAACACTTTAATAATTTATTGGAATTTTCGGAATATATAATTCTTTAAAGTTTTTTTCTTTAATTTAATCATTAACCACATGTTTAATAATTTACTAATAATTAACTAGTTTCAAATACTAATTGATAATTAATCATTTAACGTACGTATATGGATATACAATTAAAACGACTGAATTTTACCATTCGTTCATGTTTCATGATGTTTGAGGTATGTATTTTCTATATTTATTTTACAACCTGTTTGAAAGAGGCATCAACGTTGCGGACTTTCTCGCAAACATAACGAGACAGTCAAGACGATGCAATGAATATGTTTTGTCATGTCAAAGAAAATATTTTCCCTGATACTTGTCTCTCCCAAGAAACTCATAATAAGATAAACGTCCCAGTGTTCGGATATGTATCTATGTCCGGACATTTACACAAAATTTATTATTATTAATCTCAAATGCTTTTTTTATTACAGTATTATAATTTAATTGCATTTAAAGATTACAATTAAATTATAATATTACGTTTTAAAAAGCGTATTTGAGACTAATATTAACTTAAATAAATAAAGTGTTATGTAAATGGACATAGATTATGTCCGGACATGTCCAGTCACTGGGATTGGACCAGTACCTATGTTCAGACAGTTACACAAAATTTTATTTATTTATATTAATATTAATCTCAAATGCTTTTTTTACCTTAAAGATCAATTTGAATTAGTTGTCTTTTGTCATTAAACATCTATTTATATTATTATTTTCCGTCAGCATATTAATTTTCCAATTGCGGTCGAACACTGGAACAATTATGTTTCAGTGTCCGACCGGCTTGTCCGGCCACTGGTGCATTGACGCATTCTATTATTTATTTAAATATTTTAATTAATAATTGTTATAAGTGGGTTCAAATAATTTTTCCTTGCTTAAATGCTTAAGGGAGTCTTGAGTTTTCAAATGAATACAAATATTTATATTAAAAACCTTTTTGATATTATAAATTGTATTATTTATGAGAACCTAACGCTTAAACGTCCAGCTATTGGGACATTTACTTTAAAAAACATATCTTCCGTTTATTCGCAAAAAAATGAGTGCTTTCTAGCAATAGGCACAGTATAACACAATGTAACACAGTGATCATTAAATTTCATCTCTGTTTAACGTTAACAAACAATAAGGATGTAATAACACACTGTGTTATACTGTGTCATCTTTATAACACAGTGTAGGTCTGTTTTTTATTCTCGCGCTCTCTGAACTGATGCACACGGTGCAATAAGTTGAAGTGAAACAAATATACGTTGTTTCGTTTCAAGTTACTGCACCGTACAGTGCCGTGCACCAGTTCAGAGAGTGAAAGGGCCACCACACACAAAATGACATAAGCATAGCATAAGGCCGCTGGACCAATAAACATCTTATACAAATCAATATGGCGTCTTTATATTAGATGCTTATTGGTTTAGCAAACTCACGCTATGGTTATATAGCTTATGTCATTTTGTGTGTGGTGGCCTAAAAAATAAAAAACAGATCTTGTATCTTTTGTTGAAATGCACCCAAAATCTATTCGCAACATCAACGTTCCGCGGACACCCGCGTTAATGTTTTATCATTACGATCGTATTTAACCCTTCATGGTCACACTTCTTAAAAGTTCTGTAATTGTCACACCGGAGTTAAAATGATCCCAGAGCGCATTTAACCGATTGCCGTATTCACTTTTCGATCCATGAAGTAAAAAAAATTACTAGTTAAATACACTCTCTGGGGTCACTTTGACCCCAGTGTGACCACGAAGGGTTAACGTCACGATATATATATATATATGCTGCAATTTTATGATATTTTAAATAATTACTTTGTAATCTACGCGTTCTCGATTCGACCAACTTTCCTGTGTGGTATATCTTTCAAAAATATTTCTTTCGTCAAACCAATTGCTGACGTATTCAGTCATGGTGGAAGTAATATTGTATTCAGTATCAGGTGGTTGCAAAGAGAGACGATCCTCGATAGACCTTCACCGATGGAAAATCAACTTCAAATTGACCAAATAGTCAAAAGCGGTTCAGCGATTATTCGCTACGGATATGATCGAACTAGCGACTTTAATCTCATCCTCGGAGCCGGGTAATCCCGCACGCGCGGCCGTAATCGTATCATCCCCCTGAGAAGCGGGACCTCTTCTTTCTCCACGCGATTCTAGGTCAGTGTGACGAGCCGCGTGTCACAGCTCGCGTGCATGCATGTTTCACGAGATCCGTCTCCACGTCAATACGACGTATCGCGGCTCCGCTTTCGAATCGCCTATAGATAGAACTTACGAGCTCGAGCTTGCGGCGTATTCGCAGAAAAAAGGGCTATATTTGACCGGGGAATGACACCGTTTCGACATCGCAACGGGGATGTCGGTGGAGCACTTGTGTTCTTTTTTTAGATCGCTAATATATAGTTTCGGCGACGCGACGAACAAAGGATCGCGCACGAGAGAGACTTTGTCGGTTTTATTATTTTTTTCCGGACCGAATGTAGATCCTCCCGACTGAATTTACAGTCGGGATTTTCCTACCGTAAATTTAATGACAGATCTGATCGAATTTTCTGTCCACGAATGACAGAAATCGACGAGAGTTACGCGAATTAAATTACAGAGAGATTTTACGAGGATACGAGGATATTCATTATCTAAATAAAATAAAATTTCCTTAAAAACAATTTCGTTCATTCTGTTGTTCATTTTATTTCTTAATCAATATATAACAATCGTTACACGCAATAATAAAATCTCCTTTGTTAGATTTTAATTTAACAGAACTCGAAATTTAATATTGATTTAATTGAAATCTAATTTGAAGCCACACTGTAAATAAAAGAATTGCAACTAATTCTTTATCACATCTTCGCCAAGAAAGTTTCTTATTTATGTTACGATATTTTTTCTAAAAAGATTTTATTTTATTTTATTTTTCTCCTCTGTAAATATTGCTTATATCTATTACACTAATTATTGAGCCAAATTTAATACATTTTCTTGACTTAAATTGTTTAACTCCATTGCTTTAATCAAATTGATGAATTGGATAGTGCAGTGGCGACCTATAAAAATGATTAAAAATAACTTCAATTATGTGTGTGGATAATTTGATATCAAATTTAATCGTGTGGTTCATTTTGTCTATTCCCGATCGCTATTATCGAACGCTGTTCTTTGGCTTGGATGCTAAAGTCACTAGATCTATAAAGTACCGCAAACTCGCATCCATTTCGACGCAAAACGCGGCCATTTCGAATTTATGCGTTTGTATATACGTATTTATTTGGGAAAATGAAGCCGTCAAGTACGTAAATCAGTGTTTTTGAATTGTAATTAGTTTACTTATGACAAAAAATA